CCGTGAGATTTGAACTCTAGACCTGCCACTTGGAGAGAGTGACGACTAGACCACTACACTAAGTCGCCACACCTCTTTTATATATTTTTTATTTACTATATAATTTTAAAAATAATTAATAATTTTTTAATAAATTTAAATCTATATATAATTATTATTATGCAATAATGCATAACTATGATATTACTATAAAAGTGTGTATATAAAATCCTCAAATAATAGACCCGATAAAATTCTTAATATAATTATACATACAGGCTGAATGATGGCAAATTAAATTAATTACTTAATTACTACCTAATTAATGGCTACATTAATTGGATTATAATTGGGTAGTAATTGATTTAAAATGCCCAGTTTGTACTATTATTCATCCTGTGTTGTAAAATTATATAGATTAATAAATACTTTTATAACCTAATACTAATTATACGTATAAAATATTTATAAACCAAATATATACAGTATATATTTTAATATTAATTACAGGTTGCAAAATAATTCACAAATTAAAAAAAAAAAATCAAAGATTTCTAATTCTTAAAATTTTTTTGCAGAATTAGATGTTGTACTTAATTCTGTAACACATTTAGTATTTTTTGTAGAATATAATTTGCAAATTTATTATGTTGTAAAAAGTTTGATTGCATATTATTAAATTTAGTTTTTATTTGCCTAATAAAATTTACTACATGATGAGCAAGAAGAAATTTAAATATTGCATCAAATTTAACCTTATAAGAATAATGAAATTCAAAGTAAAAAGCATAAGGAACTTAATATAATTTTTTGTTGGAAATATATAATTTTCACATTTACAATAAGTTTTAGAAGCTTTTCTTATAATATATACCATATTTTAAAAAGAAATGGTAGTAGCGCACTCTAATTATTCAAGAGGTATACTTTAAGCACTAAATTTTATAAACTTTGTTAGCCATATATACTTCGAAATTGCTGTATAATAACTGTATACACTATACTTACATACAACATACAGCACAGTACTTTACATACTGAAATTAACGAACTAAAAGCTATATTAGTTCAGTATAGAAAGAGTTGATGAAAATTTCTGGCATAGCTGTTATAGCTTCAATTCATAAAAGAAATTAAAAATTATATAAAAACTCAATATTGATAAAGCACAGTGAAATTTTTATTCAAAAAGAACTTACTAAAATAAATATTAGACATGGGTTGCACTTGAATTTTGATTGGTGCTGACCTGTGGTTTGATTAATGCGCCACCAACCTGGCACATGTTAAAGAATTGCATTTTTTCATTGTGATGACAAGCTCATTTGACTGTCCCACTAATTAAAAATTGAGCTCTGATCTATTAATTTAAGTGCTCTCATCTAAATGAAAAAATTATAACCTTAAATTAATAAATATTCTTCATAAGCATGTATTAATCGGAGAATAAAATAAAATTAATTGAAAGTATTTATGAACTTGAATACTTAAATTAATAATAGTTCAACAAATAGAAGTTTAAAAAATCTCATTTCTGTTTTTAAATTCTGAAATCAGAAAATGAAATAGACATAATTTTCTGATGATATATTATCGTATAAAATTCGACCTGAACATTAAATCTGATTCACCCTAATGTTCCTTATTCTTGCGTACAAAATTATATGAATTAGTAATTATTTAAATAACATTTTTAAAATAAAATAACTTATAAAAAGCCTAATAAACTTACACTCAATCTAAATCTGGGCTGATTAGATATACGAACTACTCAGGTGATCTTGAAAAGTTTTCTAAAACTGAATCCAAGTAAAACCTGTAAAATATAGGCTAAGTTAATGCTAGTCCCAGGGAGCTTGTAATATTAGATAAAGCTAACTTGAACCAAGCCTTAATACATTCGAAAAGATAATCATGATTCTTGTACAGATACATACAATACAATTTCTACTTCAAAAAACTAGAATCTGACCAAGTTACGTTCCTATGCACTTATTAAGGGTTCTAATTTTAATAGTTTATTTAAACAAGTGGAATAAATAATAAATATTTATTGGTCTTTAACGTTTGAAAAAAGAGCGAAGGAAAAAAAGTTATATATAATTTATGTACTATATAATTTATATTATATAGTCAGAAATTTCACTTAGTATTCGCAATGCAGGAGGATGCTCACCTCATGCAAATCTGGGTTACATTTGACGTACCTCCAACGCACTAATCAAGGCAGGGCAGCTGTTAAAAATCGAAAAAGACCTCTGCTATGCAGTCCACTACGCTCCAATGTCAATTAATATACTAGAGATGTTAATTGGTCGATCCTGGCAGATCCTAACCTTAAACATAATACATTTATAGAATTTAGATTCCGTTGTTACTATCAGGTTGGAAGAGCGTCAGTCAATGGATGCCGGTTTAGTTCAGGATAGTGAACTACAAGAGAATTCTAAAGACAAAAAGGCATTCTATAAGAGTGTGGGAACTAATCTAATTTTGTTGGGGAAAAGCAAATATCGTTGCTGATATGAAAGGGTGGGTAGCTAATTAGAGCAGAACGGGAACTATGGGGATAATTTAAAGGATGCACGTGATAGGTTTTAGGATATGCTGATGTCTAAATCAATCTTGATTGTCTAATTGTTGACAATCCAAAACAGGATTGATTTAAAGCGTGATGGAAGATCAAAAGTCTATATATGTATTATAAACATGAAGATGTATTCATGTATTGTATGAGGAAAGATAAAAGATCGTGAAGATGTATTCACAATAACTTTAGATAATAAAGTCAAAAGAACTACAGTGAAAGTTGAAATTTAATAAACACACATTAAGATAGCTTAATGCTAACAAGAAGCATGTGCTAACAACGCACAGTTATTTTATTAATAAATATACTAGGCTTCAATTAGCCGTTTAGTGAAAAAGATAAGGAAAATTGTAAAGAGCAAAGTCTGAAGAAAATCTTTATTAAGCAAAAATATCGGGTTCTTAAATACATATTTTTCTAACATAATTATTTTAGAATACTTAATTGACAGATAAATTTTATTCCCGTCTCTATCTTTGAATACTACCCCCAACACCAATAATCCCCTTTCGGGAGGAGCACCAGCGTAATAATTAAACGCTTTTTCTTCATCTTTAGATGAATGCAGCGAAAACATGCGTGAATCAGACAATTCACACATCTGAGTATGCAAGCGTGCATATAATCTTCTGAAATAAGGTTATGAGAAGAATCGTATGATGACCAATTTCGAAATCATTGGTCTTCTCACGAAATCGTTTTACAAAGTTTCGGAAATTCCTTTAGCTGCCAGAGGCATGGATATAGGTTTAAGCGGGGTCGGGAGTATAATCGGTCACAATGATTTAATTAATGTCGGACTGCTTAATACGACATGCATTGATAGATCATCATACAGAAATTGCCAATTCGAGTAATAATGATACATATATATAAAAATCTCAAATAAAGAAATAAAATAACTATTCTATGAAATTACAAATAAATAATGGATTGCATGACTGCCATTCTAAATTTAGAAAAAAAAACATCATGTGAGAAGTGTAACACCGTATCGAATTTTTTAACAATACAAAATTAAATTGATTGGATAAACTTATTTAAATTCTATATAAATGTATTATATTTCATGTGATTTAAGGATTTGTAATCCTAGATAGTTTGTCAAAACAATCTAATTCTGGTCAAATTTGTAGATCAATTGACTCTCAAATAATTGCAAATTTGACCAGAATTAGGACCCACCTAGTATCGCCACCAAAATCAAGTACGTAATCGGTTTTTAAATTTATTTGCCGATATTAGGATTAATGATTGATACAACAATGACGACATTTGATTTAATAATAATACATGTAATAATAAAAATAACTATTTACGCTTTTTTTAATATCATAAAATGAAAAATTCAAAACTTTGTTCATCTTGACGAATTATAAAACACATTATTGCATTTCAAAGTAATAAAAAAATATGCTTTGAGTGTTCAACTCATGTAAATGAAAGCCAAAAAAGAAAACGTACAGATTAGATTATTCACGACGAACTTCATTTAATTAATATTTATTGAATATTTATGAATATATGTACCAGAACATTCGTTTTAAATTGAACATTCATTTTTAATCGTGGTTAGTCACGGATCCCACTTATAGCTATGAACTCAAAAAAAAGAAGGAAAAAAAAAACAATGATGAAAGTAAGCAATGCAATAGAGAACTAAGAATTGAAAATATTATGACTGAGAAGAAACCATTGTTGAGGAATCGAGTATAAAATCCAAATCTGAAATTTTAAGAAAGCACAAAAAAAAACTCTTCATGAGGTATAAAGATTTTTTTTTTATTATCATCACCATGTTTTCATGTTTATATAAATATATTTTATTATGTTTTTGGCGCTTGATTGTTTTGAAAATCTAATAATCTTTCCAAAAAAAAAAATTGGTTCGAAGCATTGAATCAAACTTTAAACCTAACCAAAAAATGGTGGATGACATTTAAGATTTCGAACAAGCAAAAAAACTTCAAAACTTGGAGTGATCGTAACAAAAACACATTTACTGGTAACATTTAAAGTTTATACGTGTATTAAAATATTGAATTTGAATATAAATGCATTTAAATGTTTGAATTGAATGTAATTCGACTTAGTGTTTGCAGTAGTAATATTTTGAATAAAAAAAAAAAAAACTTTAATTGTTTTTTTCAAAAATTTTAAAAATCTTGTGATTCTGTTATTATTGTGCTTAGATTGAAATTTAAAATCGTGTTTCAGAATTAGTTTGTTTTGACAAAGATCAGCATTCATGAATTCTTATTTATAATACCGCTATCTCTCTCTCTTAGCCAAAAATTTTTTTGCTTCCCTATACCTCCACTAACAAAGTGGAATATACTATACAATATATTTATTTTAATAAAAAAAAACATCTCAGCTCTTTCAATAAAAGAATCCTAAGTTGGCTTGAATACGTGTAAAGTAAGACAAGATGTTGAAGAAAAACCACTATATAGAATTGGAAAAACTTTCGAACTTAAAGGTAGGCAACAACCTAGTTTACAAATTTTTTTTTATTATTGAAAAAAACAACACACTAAAAATTTTAAACCTCGGTTAAATCTAGGAAAACAAAAATCGTGATGATCAGGGTAGCAATTTTACAAACCAACAAATTCCTAAATTCCTAACCAAATTCATTTGGTCAACAATAATCGTAATGATCAGGGTAGCAATTCGACAAACCAACTTCTTTTGGGCAATGATAATCATGAGGATCAGAGTAGATTTAATTTTGGATCTGAAGTGGGCTAAGCACTTCTGAATTCACTTTATGTGAATTTGTCATTATCTACACTAGACCTTTAAATAATAAAATTGGTTTAGGTGGGAATGGCGAGTTCTCAAGTGCACTCACCAAAATCACCTTGGAGGGAATAGTGCTTTTGGTTTTAAAGTAGGATATATTTTTTTGCAGAAATAGAAGTTATAGATTCATTATTTTGTAATATATTTTTATTTAGTATCTTTTGTAGAAATATAATTTGTTATATTGTAAAGAATTTGATTATGTATTATTAAATTATGTTTATTTTTTATCCGAATAAAAATTTACTAATTTAAAAGCTGCACCAAATTTAATCTTATAAGAATTATTACATGAATCTAGAAAAATTAATTTGCTTAGTATAATTTTTAAATATTACTACAGAAATCATTGCCTTTGATTCAAAGCTACGTTTTGATATTTTTATTTAAAAATCAGCAAAAACGCCATTTTACATTGAAATTGGATCCTCCTCAACGCTTCAAACAATAAAAATAAATTAAAAAAATTGTGTTGTTACTTTAAAAATGGGCCCGGCAAATATAATTTTATTTATGCGATTTAAAAATTATTGTAATATAAATTTTATATGTCATTAACGCTACCACTACGCTGATTAATTGATTAATGATTTTCACTATAACACACTATTGTTTGCATTTTGACATGCATTGTTGATTCAATAATTTTGAGATTATATCACAATGATATTATATAATGTATACATGAATCAAACTGTCCAACTAAATTACGAATAAAAACTGATTTCTTTTTATTATTATCACTATGTAATTATTGCGGTTTGCAAAATTGTGAAAAAAAATCAATGATTTCTGAGTACATGACTTTTGATGACGTATATAAAGACTTATACGTTTAATATATACAAATAATATAAATTTTATTTAGTAAACATTTTTTTAAAAAATCTTTTCTAATGCATTATGCCAGAACATGCCTTGAATGCACAAAGTGTCTTTTTTTGTACAACTTCTAAACCTTATTGTAACCGTGAAAAGTGAGGTTCGGTCGGTCACGATCAGTCATCGGTCAGTCATTAACGGTTAACTGTCATAGCCGGTTGACCGCGATCAGTCATATGGTTAAATGACCGGTCATAGCTGACAAATTATTTAATCAATTATTCAATCAAATATCTAAATAAGTGACAAGTAGAGATGGGACGCTGTATAGGCTGCCGAAAGAAAAACTAAACACGTGATTTGCATCACATGATCAATAAAATCATCGTTCATAATTCTGGTCAAACTTGCAGATCATTTACCACATTTAAAGTTGTTTTTTTATAGATCTGGCCAAATGATCTGCAATTTTGACCAGAATTAGGCAGTTCTAAGTTGTTAACATTTCGCATGACCAATCAAAATTTATAAATTTTTAAAATTTTCCAAACTTCCAGCGAAGGTTTCTCAATAACTACTTATTCAAATTCGGTAAAATTGTTTTTATTTAAATCTCATAATTTTAAAAATCAAAATTAAAAAAATTTATTGAGTTTAAGAAAATCTTAGAAAAGAACTAAAGTTCAGGCAAAATTTTCTTTTCCTAAACTTTAAGCAAGAAAGTTTTTTTTTTTTTTTTTAATTCTGAAGACTTGTAGAATTAAAATAAAAAAATTATTGATTTATATAGGTAGTTGCCGAGGAAAGTTAAAAAAAAAAAGAAACATTTAGCCGCAGTTTTTTTTAAATTTGAACGAAGGTTACTCGACACCAACCTGACCCAATTCAATCAATTTTTTTTTTATTTAATTATATAAACTTATAGAATTAAATAAAAAAAAAATTGATCAAATTTGATTAGGTAGGTACCGAGTAATCTTTGTTCAAAGTTTAGGCGACTTCAAAGAAAAAAGCAGCGGCCAATATTTCTCAACAACCAGCTATCCAAATTCAATCAAAATTTTTTATCTTAATTCTGTAAACTCAGAATTTAAACCATAGATTCATAACTACGGCCAAAATTGCAGATCATTTTACCAGATTTAAAATTGGTTTGCTCTAGATCTAGCTAAATGATCTGCAAATTTAAGCAAAATTATAAACGATGGGTTTTTCTATTTATCAGATGGCCTATATGATTTCATAATTTCATGCTACAATAATTATTATTATTTATTAGCCAAAAAATCAAAATCTGGCATCGGTCATAATTTTGACCGGTCGGTTAAACCTTTCTGATCGGTCAATATCGGTTACGGTCATTGACCGGTCATGACCTGACCGTGGCCATCCCTATTTCCGACAAAAAAATTAGAAATTTCATGATTCTTTCAGTAATAGACAAATTAATTTTCTAGATTTCATGTAATAATTCTTATAAGATTGAATTTGGTGCAACTTTTAAATTTTCGACTGAACCATAGATGCTAAACACAATATGTTACATTTATATTGATTTATTATAAAATTTATACGTAACGTATTTAATATATTTTATACATTTTACAATACTGTATTTAATTACAATACATATATATACCTTTTATACACTTACCTAACACACACCTTATAATCTAAATCCTAACACTAACCCATAACTTTATCGCTAAACATAACTTATCCTTATCCTACCCTTACCCTTAAACATACCAAATAACTAGTATCTACAAGGTCCCATTAATTCGAGATTGCACCCATATAAGAGTCACCCAGGTGACCCATACTTCTATTAATCAGGTCATAGTTACTATACCTTGGATAATTCGCCACCCAAATTTTTTTCAGACCAGTTCGCAGTAAAAATTCTATGCTGTTAGATTAAGCGTTATTATATTAGAATTCGAAAATCTTATATATGTTAAATTCTACAAGCAAATTCTTGTTAGTGCGTAGAAGGCAATTTAATAGGCTCAAATTTGAGTTATAAGCATTTTGACAAATCGAACGTTTGTTATGAATTTTCCTGATCCTGCTTCGTTACACTTGATCTTGAAATTTGTTGGCCATTGAAAATTTTTAGGATGGTGATTGCTTAGTTGCTGCTACGCGGACGACCCAGATTTACTTGTCAACATTGAAAATGAATATTTGCGAAGAACCGGGTATGAGACACCAATACACACTGAATAATTATACTTGAATTACTAGCCATTGGATAAAATTCTAGCTATTGAAATCATCATGAAATTGGACTTGAAAATGATGAACGTTGTGAAGGGTTTCCAGATGCCCTACTATTTTTTTTTTTTTTTTTTTTTTATTAACTATTAGTATTATTTCATACATGTGTTAAAGCTCGACGTAGAAGTGTGTATTTCAAAAATAGAAATTACCTTAATTATAGTCCCCGTTATGAACTTATTCACTTTTTGTCACTTATGTCATTAGTGACATTAACGCTGTTAATTCCATTAAAGACACTTCTGTCACAAATGGTACTTAGGCCATAAATACCATTAATAGCATTATGTCCTTTATGGCCTTTAGTCCATTTCGCGCATAAGTTCAAATTTAAAACCTGTAATTAATTAAGGATGCGAAAAGTACAAAAGCGAAGTTCCTTTCGCGTTGAAATAAAGTATAACTCAGTTTGGTTAAACTCTTTGAAAACATAATAGCAGAAGTATTGACTCCAGTAGTTTACTACTTATCTTGAAGATTCGTCCATAATAAATCGTCCAAATATACTTTATATTGTCCCCGTTATTACTGTAAAAAGGCACTACCGATCGTAAGAGAAAGAGAAAATAAAAGAGCCCAATTCGTATTGTCTACCTATTTATACCGATGGCTCTGTGATCCATTGTTTCGTCATTTACTCCAACAATTACGATGGTGAACACTAGTGGAACCTATAATGTTGGATGTTGCTATAGCCACGGAATTGAAGTTGAAAATGAACATAAGAGCTTCATTTATTATTGTAAATATGCAGAGGTGAAGAGTGCTAGTAGAACGAATGGTGTTAGATGCTTTGTCGATGTTGAATTAGATGACATAAAACATATACTAGACCCACCTATCGACTAAGTCGTTAGCTATTGAAACTGTTATCATAAATAGGTAAAAATTTGCAAGATTTTTTTCGATCATTTCGATAGGTTTTGGACTTTGGTATAATAGATATAGGAATTACCTCTAGAACAAGTATTACACGTATTCTAAAATATATAGCTTTATATACCGATCAATTCGAAATTATAGCTTACCGAATCGTGTGTCCTTGAATTTAAGATAATGGTTGTAAACCTTAATGCTTAACATAGCCGCCAAAATTCAGTCGACTAAATACTATTCTACTCTAACCTAACCTTACCCAATATATATACATGGGTGTCTAAATAGCATAGCAGAAACTCGTATTTTGACGGAAAATCACGGGTTTAATGAGTCATGTGCCCCAAAATAAATACATATGCAGATGACGGAAATTTAATAGACATTAAATCAACCAACGCCAAAATTACCAATCAAATTTCAAGAGTCACCTATCTGCTATAATAATATAGAGGCATGTATAAGAATACTTTTAACGATCAATTCAAGTATAATTAATTGTCAGTATGGATTAATGCCATTAAGTCCGGTTATTTTTATAACCCTCGCTTTTCCAACATAGTCTTCTAGCAATTACTTTCCTAGCGTAATCACTTCTTTATCCCACCCAGAATAGCCACCAAAACTAAATAGCTATGTAATCGCTACTCAAGATTTGATCCGAGGCCGTGTATTAATTTATTTTTAATTACTCAAAGAATTTATTTATTTACTGCAAATGTTGAATACAATTATATTTAATTAAGTTATTTTAAACGTTTAGGTTCAAACTCAAATATAAATCAATATCTGTTTAAAATACCGGCATTAGTGGTTTGGTTAGAAACATAGTTGAATAATAATATTAGACGAGGTATAAAAATATTGGTTTATCTATTTAGTTCAAGAACAAATTAATCTTTTTTTGATTTTTTTTTTATGTGAGATAAGTAATCTAGGTTTAAAAATCATTTGCAACGTACATCATTTGGTAGTAAGCTTCAGATATATAGTTCATCTTATAATTCAAAAACTGATTAATATTTCATAGTATTTCGGTAAG